ACTAGACAGTAAAAGACAATATCCGCTATCTGTCACATGACGGTCAATTTTTACAAACTGAGCAGGCAAACGCAAAGTAGTTTTGATTTATACCAGCAAACAAATCTGATATTCTTCTAAATGCTATTGGGATAGATTAGCCGCTAGCCAGCATCATATGGTGGAAAGAACATTAAGTTATGCATCCAGCATATCGTCTACGATTCCGCTAAAGAGGACAAAAAACGAAGTCGGTTAATGTAAGTTTCGTCGTCTCATTGTTGTTTTCACGTTTCCGCTAAAATGAAAATATTTACTTTATGTAGTTAAGAGTCATCGCCTTAGAGCGGCACTGTACGTCCACTTGTTTCATGCAGTTAGTGCCAACCGCGATTGCAGAAAATAGATTAAACATAAAAGGTGTACAATAGCTAGCCTGCGCGGTCGCTCATCCAGTAAAGGTTTTCAGAGTCCTGTTAAGACTTCTACGACCCTAGAGGACATAAAGAAAAAGCGAGGATGGTATTGGAAATTTAGAATTGCATCCCTAAAGAAGACAAATCTGTGCGTGGCCTTAGTAGACTCCATTTGATTCCTAAAGAAGACAAATCTGTGCGTGGCCTTAGTAGACTCCATTTGATCCCTAAATAAAGGAGACCATTCTCCATCATATTGGTTTTCTCTTCTAAACACCCACAATGTAGACTGCAAAACAGTCCGTATTTTTGCGCATTCAAGAACGCGCGAAAAGTCAAACAAAAGGTCGGGCCCCGGTTGTTCAAAAGGTTGATAAGGCTATCCATCGGATAAATCTGGATAGCGCAACTGGTTTTCCTAATACTTATCCACTCGATAGTGATTTATCCAGCGGATAGTGCTATCCATTGAACAACCGGGGCCTGGAGTGAGGCTGAAAACGGAGAACGAGACTGGCCCTACGGGCGTGTGAGGTTCGCGCGCGTGAGGCTCTTTAACGCTACACTAAACCGATTTTGAGGGGAAAAAAGCGACTGTTTTGCAGTCTACCCTAAGTGAGACCACATTATGCAATCGCTCTACCCCTGAGCAAAACGACAGGCATCCCAGTCACTTTCATTAAACCTACAAATGTTCAACCCAATTTCCTTGGCTTTCTCGAGGATTAAAGCGCCAGCATTTCAGTGAAACTCACTGCGTTATATAGCCTTACTCTTAAATTCGTCTTTTGACTCGGCTCACTGACTTTTGAGATTCAGTTTACGTTTTGAAGGTCTTATAAATTCATGATCACGGGATATTATTTACTCACCCAGCTTTTAATAACCTTTTTTAACCTTTTTTAATTACACAGCAGTTTTAATATGTCTTTGTTTTCTTTATCTTTTTTGCTTGTTTGTTAACTTTCCCGTCAAATTTGTATTCAAAAATCAAATGATATGATCTTGTAATATCGCTTTTTTAACCTCTAGGTGGCGAGGACATGTCATTAATCGGATGGTCTAAAATCACGGGTGAATTCAAATTTTTCTGTTTACTCTAATTTGACAAAGAAACATGGCCAATTTAACCATCCTTGTGCCCGAGGGAACAATTTCTTGGCAACTCCTCCGTGAAAATTTCACCTCCTCTTCGTCCACTGCCATCGCGGGAAAACTGAGCTCGTTTATCAAGTATTGGAGGATCGCAAACGTTGTCCTTTATGTAGTTATCTTTGTTACCAGTGCGGTAGGAAATGGTTTGGTGTGTTTTATAATTATAAAAAGGAGAAGCATGAAGTCGGTCGTTAACTATTTGATTCTAAATCTGGCAATCGCTGACCTTATTTTTACCTGCGTTTGTATACCACTCGATATACCAGTGCAACAAATGAACTATGTTTGGCCTTACGGTGGTTTCATGTGTAAAGTTATCTACCCATTACAAACCCAAATTCTGTTTGCCTCAGTTTACACCCTCTTTGCACTAAGCCTGACGAGATATCGGGCAGTGGTGCATCCGCTAAAACAACAGCTGACCACTGATAAAGTCAAGTGGGTGATCATGGCCATCTGGGTGGTATCGTTTCTCCCTGTGACGCCATATATGGCAACGCTACGATTTAATAGCTCAACTCTGACCTGTGAGGAATATTGGAAAGACGTACGTTCAAGAAGAACTTACACCATCTGCCTTTTCCTTTTTCAATATGTAGTACCACTGACAGTAATCTCATGCGCTCATTTAGCTATTGCTCAAGACCTCAACAGACAACAGACACGAGAGATAACCATCATACGTAGAATTCGTATTCAGGAAGGCCGTAAGGTTTCACGAATGCTCATTATAGTGACGCTGTTATTTGCCGTTTGCGTCCTACCAAATAACATTTTATGGTTGTGGTTGGACTTCGGAGAAGCGGACAAACACTTTGCTTATTTTTCAGAGCTTTTGTCATTTGGCAACATTGTCGTGTTCTTAAACAGTGCTCTGAATCCTGTCTGCTATACGATTATGAACGATACTTATACAAAAGAATTAAGGGACATAATACATTCATGTCTAAAGCCAACAAGTCAAGAAGAAGTTGAACAGTCCTTAGACTAATCTGAACTAATACCACCAGCAGGCTGAAAAACTCAGCATAGCCGTTCAAAGTCCATCATGTAAAGAGGATGTCGATTGATGTACATAGTAATGTTTAAAAGATGGCTTAAAAGTTCGCATTCAGTTTAACACGGGTATGTCCAGGGAAAACAGCTCACCGTTGTGAAACTAATATAACATTAACACACCCAAAAAGAACCTACATTTCCATTCCACGACTGTTAGGAAAGGAACATTATTTTCGCATAAAATCACCACAACTGATTATTTTATAAACACTCAATCAATTTCATTTGTTTCATCAAGAAAAGCGAGAGAAAGCGAAAAGAAAAAGTCAAGACTGTTGTTCCTCTTTTAAGCTCAGGTGACTGTTAACGCCGATTACTTAGGACGTTGCGGGGCGGAATGCAAATAAAACGCGCCGGCTTTTAATGGGGGCTCCCTTTTTTCTTTTCCCTTTTGCGGTTTTTTTCTCCCTCCACTCCTCTTTTTCAATTTGAAATCGGTAAAAGCGGAAGTTTGCGCGATCTTAGACTACGAGTAGTCCCCCATTTTTCCTCACGGATAGTAGAGCGAGCGAAACGCGAGCGCGCGTGAAAATCACCCCACGCGAGAAAAGGCGACACGCGGCGGGTGATTTCCACGCGCGCTCGCGTTTTGTTCGCTCTACTATCCATGAGGAAGAATGGGGGAATACTCGTAGTCTAGCGCGATCTAAAAACTGCTACTGAAAATCCCACGCCAGAAATTTAAAGTGTGCATGGTGTTTAGTAATTTCAAATAAAACGTAAATATATTTCGAACGTTATATTTTCAATAGCCGTGATAAATTAAAAACCACACCACATAATCTTCATGATTATAAAATTCGCGTTACAATTTTTTGACGTTGTGCTAATAATTTTTCCAATAGCCATAATGGCTTATGGCTCTTGTTTTTCCAAATTCATGCGAAACATACTGCTGACCCGCTCCATACTAATGGTGGGCACGCCAAGGGGGAGCGCCCTGTGTACTACTGGTGGACCCGGTGAGGGGAAGCGCCCTGGGGAAGGGTGGACCGGGTGAGGGGGAGCGCCCTGGGGACTAAGGGTGGACCCAGTGACACAGTGGTATGGGCATCCCCGCGTTTTCGGGCATCCGCATTCCCAAAACCCTAGTTATATGGGCATCCCCTGTAACCCCAACCCTAACCTAAATCGCTAAGGTAATATGAGAAGGGGATGCCCATATGGTATCACTAGGGTCTTGGGAATAGGGATACCCAAAACTCGGGGATGCCCATATCACTGTAACACAGGTGAGAGGGGCACCCTGGGGACTATGGCTGGACCCGCCCAAGGGGAGCACCCTGGGGAATAGGGGTGGACCCGCTAATATCATAACACGCGTTTAAGGTTCTAAACAAAGTACCATCAATTTCTACGCGACATTTTTTTGCAGAATCTTTTCAAATATGTGTTTAAAACTGATTCAATGTTTTTGAGGATAATATGTATCTAACCGATTTTTTGAAAACCAACCTAACGAAATTTGCAGTCATTTGAGTGAAAAGGCGTCAAAAGGCAGGCTTTTTGGCCCCGATAAGCTCAAAACTCACACTAACGAGGGAAAAGAACAGGAGAAAAAGAAAGAGCGAGGCCTAGGAGGAAGAAAGGAGGAGAAGAGAAAAAAGCAATGGTTGCACTCTTAGTTTTTATAATGGCAAGAGCCATATTAGGGTCCTATTATGGCTCTTGATAATGGCTAGTTAGAGATAGTTTTTGGCCGAAAAATACTGTTGGACGCAAAAGGTCTATTTGGCAGTAACGTTTCCAAAAATCGGGCTAGATATAAAAAGGGGTGAACAATCCATATTGAGACGGAAAACTACTTATCAGCAAAAATATATTTTTTTTAAGAATAAAAGAAGTTTCAACGAAATGAAATACCCGCGCCGTGGCGCACACAGATGATAACACTCACGTCACTCACGCACGTTAGGTAGCTGTGAGAAGCACAAATCCTTCGGCTTTGTCGATAAGTTATCTGTGAAAGAGAGTTTCTCTCTAATTATGAGCTTTTTGACTTAAGCGACTGAACATCCAAACATATTTGTAATTTTAAGAGCGTTCAAAGGAAAATAGAGAATACTTTATCTTTTACCCAGCCAATAAAGGGGTTGTTGTATTTTCACACAGTAATATGCGTGCTGCACAAACTATTCTTGACTTTCTACTGAGGGCACATTTCGATTTTTAATAAAAAGACAACTGGACTCTTCGACTTTAATTCATTACTTTTTATTCAAAAGAATATTAAATAGAGTAAAATACATTTCAAAATATTACATACAATCTTCCTGGCCAGCAGCGGTGAACAAGTTAGCGTATAAAGAACAAGCCCACAGTGAAAAACCCAAATAAAAGCCTTCGTTTTTATATTATTTTTATTAACACAAATTCCTTTCTCACGCATTTTGAAAGTTATGCATTGCATTTCCATTATTCTGAGTAAAATCATGAAGAATAATGCTACTTAAAAAAAACCTAACGAAATTTAGCACAGCGTTAGCCATTAATAATAATTTTATATCTTTTTAGACATGGAAAATCAGGACTTAATTTCTAAGTGGTCTAAAGCAATGCATCCACTAACATTTCAGCTTTAAGTGGTTTTTTTTTTGTTGTTGTTGCCTAGCTTATCAATTATCTTGCCTTTTGGAAAGACTCGTCAACCATCGTCATGTCTTCAGAATAGCCATCGTTATAAGACCTGAAAAAGATTTTATACTTCAAATACAATGGCTTCGATCTACGTAGTGAAGACTTAATTTAAGCCATTTCCGATTTTCCTTTTAAAACGAGGCTAAGTGCAAAACCTTTCAGGTGAAAATGTGTTTTATTTGCACGAGAATAAAGAATCACTTTCATATCAATGGCTTCACACTTAGCCTCGCTTTGAAACAGAGGCTTTGGGCAACTCACGAATGGCCCATTATAATTTATTGTGGTATGGTGTACATTGCTACGCGGGTACCCTGGTTTCAGGGGTCAGCTTTCTTGCTTAAGGAGAAACTGAGTAACAGAAGAAAAGAAAATCTCTGGGACCGGGGAAATTTTATGCTTTATTAGTGGCTAAATCATTTTGTGCTTCAAAAAATTAAATGAAAGGGCCATAGCAAGGCCACTGTATGACCGGGGCAAGACTTACCTACCAGCAAGCTCTCTATTTGGGAGATATGGTGAAAAGTACACGCGCGAGTGGCACGCGAGGGCTCGCTAGTGTAGCTCACTTCGCGCACCTAAATGGAGAGCTTGTTTGCAGGCTAGGGCAAGACCTGCGGTCAGCAAGGCACATCTAAAGGGGGTCTAGGGGAATGACCCTCCCGAAAAACTTTGAAATCTGGAAGCTATGGGATGGTTTCTTAAACGCCAGATTCCAATCGTTAGTGGGATTCTGGATTCCTTGAGCTGAATTATGGATTCTAAAGCCAAGGATTTTGGATTCCACAAGCCAAAATTTCCAGGATTCTGGATTCCCCGATTATTATTATTACTGAAATATTATTTCTCTGACATTAACAATACCATAACCACTTTTAAAAAAGGGTTTGACCTTGGATAATATGAATAAAATAACTATATGATTACCTAAAATAAAGGCAGCCAACAATTTCTGGTTGACAGACAAATGTAAATACTGTGGTATTAGATCTGAACGTTGCTTTTCTCCTTCCAATGGCAACATGAGAGCAATAATACAGACAACAGCCATCATAATTACCCACAAACTAGGAGCATTCTGACCTCCAAATCCTGTTTATTGAATAAAGACAAAAGCTATTTTTAGAGAATGATGTGAACTAGGGTATACCTACAATCATTTTTACACAGAGGAGTATGATTTTTGTCCAAAATTGCAGGTTGTGGTAGAGGAACGATCATTATGCCAAGGCATCCCAAAGAGTTCAAAGGGAAGGCGATGATACCCTATAGAACTCCTCAATTTGGATATTTTGCACAAACTATTCATTATCATTAACTTGGACTACCTTTTCACATGTTTTCACACATTGGTTCTTGCTTATCTTGTTAATTATTTCTAAAAAATAACTAAAGGCATTTAAGGTAGTGGTAATAGCTCAATTTTTTGCCACATGTGAAAATCTCCAAGTAGAGGGGTACAGGTATCCTCTACCAACAGGTAGCCTACAGGACCCCTGAGGGCCCCAATCTGCCCCCCCTCCTCCACCCCTCCAATCGTGGTTGCCACAGCCAGAGGTTTCTGAAATTCTGGCTTTTCCCTGACTTTTTTCTGACAAAATATGTAAAATTTCCCTGACCAACTGAGTTAACTATCTCACACATTTGACCTGCTGATGGACTCAACCTTCCCCTCACAGCAATCCCCTCCACTCATTTGTTTATGCTTTCAGCAACTCATGTGCAGTGTAAAACAAATTGATGTTCTTGAAAAGCCAGCATCGGCTTGTCATTCAATTTCATGAACAATATTCAACCAATACGACACGATTCATGTGCATAAAATGCATAAAAGAATTTTAAATATTAGAAAACAGTAAAGGTACTGGGAAAAGAATAAACATGTACTCTTAAAATTTAACTTTTCCCTGACCTTGAAGAAATTGTATTTTCCCTGACCTTTGGCAACTATGCCAAAAAAATCTGGGTTATGTGAAGTCATGGGAGCAGATGAAGAATGATTTGATGATGTAATAACTAGAACAGTGTTGGCTCTCGAAAATGGCGCCAGGCATAGGATCCCCCTGCTTTGGACATTAGGTGGGGCTACTTATCTTGTAAAGATACTGCCTAGAGAACAAAGACTTGTGACCCTACTTCCCGAAACAATTCATCACAACAATCCAAAACAAAACAATGGAGACTAAGGAAACAACCATGAGAATCTGACAAGTCTAAATAATTTCTAGTAATCAGATTTCTAATCCTTTATGCACGAGTCTCATACCTATGGATAAAAACCTTACCTGAGTCTGCAAATTGTTCAACAGTGACACTACTACTTCCTATTCTTTGTGTCCCCCTCCTTGTAGATGGTCGTTCTTTGCTCTTCTATATGTTAAAAAATGTGAAAAAATTATTGAGAAACATTTTGAACCTGGCCTTATATTCACTTACCTACCTGCGGCATAGCCAATGGTAATGCCTGGAATAGTAATACTGTTATGATGTGTGGGAAAATAAGCTGCTGGCAACTTTTTATATTGGAAGAGTGTCTTGGTCAGTACTGTTGTAGTGGGAACCAAGCTTTATGAGTGAAAAATAATCAGTTTTCACAAGCTCAGGAAAATTCATTCACATTCAACAAATCCTAAGGTCGCTTAATTTAACTGACTGTTCTCCAATGAAACTCTACAAAATAATAAAAAAAAAATAATGTAACAAACTAAAGAAAGAATTCTCACAAGTACAGGGTTCCGAAAAAAGAAAAAAATGTGAATTCCAGCTTATCCTTTGGGCAAGCAGCTCACACAGTTTGAAGTCCTGTTCCATTAGCTTTCCAACCTGAATTTTGGGAAACTTTTTGTAAGTAGTAAACAAGTTACCATTGTCTCAAGTATTTTTTGACACTCCGGTTGTGGCACAATAGCTGACTGGCATTTACCTGTTTTGGTTCAGTTCTGCTGGGCTGAAGCACAGCGATGATTTCTTTTTTACCAATAACATCTTGAAGGCCATGCTCAAAGATGTGAAGTCTAAACTTGTCTTGTTGTGTAATGCCAGGTTGAATGTCAATGTGGCGTATCACTCTAAAGATAAAGAGATTAAAAGCTACAACTTGGCTCTTTGACAAATAGACAAAACTATTTTCCCTGGTGTAGGTTTCATGGCCTTATAGACCATAGCAGTGAAATCATAATGTTCTAAACTCAAGTTTCACAGTAACGTTTTGAACACCATTGTCATTTCTGTGGTCTGGAATAGTGATTGTCTATTTTTTTATATTATAACATTGATAGCGGTGAAAGGTTTGAACCCAGGGGTCATTTCAAAAGTAGGTTGAGTTTGATCATCCGGGTGAACGTAGTCCTGAATAGGACTGTTGTTGTTGACAGTGACTGACAATTCGACAACCTGTGTGGTAGTCATCTTCAGAGTCAAAGATAAAGAGGGTAAAACGTGCAACTTGGCTATTTGACAAATAGACAAAACTATTTTAAACTATTTATCTTTTTGACTCTGAAGATGACTACCGCACAGGTTGTCGAAACATCAGTCACTGTCAACAACAACAGTCCTATTCAGGACTACGTTCACCCGGACGATCAAACTCAACCTACTTTTGTAACATTGATAGCATTAACCTCCATTTCCAGTGAAGTTTCTTGGAAAACTGCTGCGTGCAGATAAATAGTGGAGAGTGGAGTAGAGTAGAGGCTCAATTTGGAGAGCATAACACTTGACAACTGTTAAACTTGTGGTCCTATAATCTTTTTAGTACATGTATGTAAACTGCAGTCATTACATCATTTCCATAGTGTATACTCTCATAGACCCCAGCTTTCAACCAATCAGCATGTGGGAAATTGTTGTAAAAATATAAGTGACAAGTTAAATATCCAGAAAACATTTGGGCTATAACTACTTTTAATTATTGTGGAGGCGTAAGTGGCCAAGCTGTTAACACCTCGAACTCTGGATCTGGAGGTCTAACGTTCATCTCTTGCCTGTCGCATTGTTTCCTTAGACAAGGAACTTTACTCCACTTTGTCTCTCTTCACCCAGGTGTATAAATGGGTACCGGCGACATACTCCTGGGTGGTAACCCTGCTATGGACAAGCATCCCATCCAGGGCCAAGTAGCAATACTCCTAGGCTTGCTTCATGCCATGGAAACCGGAAATAAGCTCCAGCCGTGTGGGCCCTTGGCTTGTGTGCACCTTCACCTTACTTTTATTAAAAAACTGAATCATTGGATAATGCAATTCTAAAGCTCTGATTGGGCTAGCCATCATAGTATATGAGCAATCATACCACACTCTCCAAATGTGGTGACTGTACATGTCTGCTCAAAATTAAAAACAAGCTGAAAATCGGTTGTTTTTACAAATAAAGTCAGGAAGAATTCTCGATATTTTGGGGTGTTTTTAATAAAACAATTACGCCACTCGTGCTCGTTGGATATGAGATGATTATAGCCAACTCATATCCAATGCGCACTCGTGGAATAATTGTTAAATATGATACCTACATGTCAATGCAGCATCTGGGTTTGATTACACCATCCGAATCTACCACAATATATCTGCTTGGAGCTGTGCACAAGACTGAAATAAAAACGCCTAGTAAGATACCGGTATGTAAATTGAACGCCCTAAAATCAGCAGTCCACGTATGCCAATCAAGGTTGAGTATGCATTTCATGAAATTCAATATTACAATAAGCATTTTAGATGTAAGCTAAAATTATTTTGTAACATGACATGTACAATTAGTTAACGACCTCGAGTCTAATAACCTGTTAAACTCCGTACCTTTAAATCGTAAAGCGAACTCGTAAGGGTTGTAAACCGTAAGAACTTGCTTGTGACTGGCCTGTTCATCAGCATAAAAAGTCAGCGATTGTGGAAATACAAAAACCGGCAGACTTCCATCAGTAAAATGTGAAGGTTGTAGTGACCTCATACAAATGTAAATCTTCCTCAGTGCTTTATTTCACCAGTAAACGAGAAATCTGTCAAGAGAACAGAATACACAATATTTATCCCAAATTTTCATACTTTTATAGTATATATTAAAACAATCTATGTATATTCATTTCCATTGTACGTGCAATATTCGTTTTAACTTTGTAAAAATAAAACATTATGCCGATCTCTACAATGTAGCAGCAGACTCGGTAATAAGGCTACAGAACACAAAAAGCAGATTAAAACTTTACCTGAAAACTCTCTCAGAATCTAGGAAAAGTTTTAAAAACAGGCCGGAATGTTTATCGAGGTTTTAACATCTTCAAAGGCACGAAATCAACACAAACGATTGAAAACGAAACAAATCTCTTTGTTTACTTCGGACAGCTGAGCATCATGGGACTTAGCTTCGACTGTCGGTTTGTATGTCATGTAAACCTAACTCTACTGTCCTGCATACTATTACAGACGGACACAGGTCGATGGGTGGAACAGGGCCCGGGGTATAATATTTCGAACGCACGAAAGATCCAGTTTTGTAAGCAGCCATTTGAAATTATTCAAGGACAGATTGCTTTTAAAAATACGGTTCAATGCGTTAACAAACAAACTGTTGTACTCTTTGCACTCTAGAACGGAGTATAAAAAATTGGCCCATTTCTAGAACGGGGTATCAATTTTAGGGGAAATTTTTTTTAGAACGGCATGCCAATTTGGAGTCTCGGGGCGGCACATTCACCCAAAAAATACCCAAGTGCCCCCCCCCCCCCCCCCGACTAAACCGTAGGAAAAAAAAGTGGGTAAATTTTAGGAGGGGGTTGTGATTTTAGGGGGAATTTTTTTTAGAACCGCAGGCCCATTTGGGCGCCCGGGGGGGGCCATTTACCCAAAAAAAACCCCAGTGCCCCCCCCCCCCCCCCGGGGAACAGGGCCACTAAAGCTCAATTTAGTAGACAACAGGCGATTATTTTAAAAAACTAAGAGGTAATCATTGTTTACAGATCCGCGTTCGTCACTTACGGAAACGAAATCGAGTTGAAAGGAGTCCAGTTTCCCGGCCGCGATGCCCCTGATAAAATTAATTCCACAGCTTGGAATGAAGGCGCCGTCATACAAGACATGCGTGACGCCACCATCATCAAGCTCTTTAAGAACAAAGGCGACCGCTCAGTCTGATCAGACTCTAACAATTATCGTGTATATCGAAGCATTTCTCTCATGAGTATTGCCGGCAACGTCGCCCAAGTGCTCCTTATCAGACTGCAAGCACTGGCTGATCGCGTATACCTTAAGTCTCCGTGAGGTTTCCGGGCGGGGAGATCCTCCACGGCCATGATTGTCACTGTGCGCCAGCTACAGAAGAAGTCACAAGAACAGGGCAAGCTGCTCTATCTAGCCTTTATCGACCTGACTAAGGTGTTTGACCTTGTGATTAGAAAAGGTCTGTTCCAACTCTTAGAGAAGATAGGATGTTCCTCCAAGCTCCTCAACCACTGATTGTCTCCTACCACGAAAGCATGAGGGGCACCGTGTATGAAGAGCGGAGTGAAACAGGGCTGTGTCTTAGCCCCGACACTCTTTGGAATCTTCTTCTCCTCCTCTTTTCCCATGCCTTTGACTCTTCCACTGACGGTGTGTACCCAGTCCAGTACCCCCATCGATGGTTAGCTCTTCAGGGTGGCTCGCCTCCTCACCAAGACCAAAGTCAAAACTGTACTTGTGCGTGATGTCCATGCTCTTTGCTGATGATGCTGCCTCTGCAACACATCCCGAGACAGCAATGCAGAGGCCCATCAACAATTCGGCAGCAAGTGTGAAAACTTTGGCCTCACTGAATCAGCCTCAAGAAAACCAATGTAAGCATGAGTGCCCAGGATGTCAGCCAAGCCTCTGAAATCAAAATCGGCGACCACACTTTCGATTTAATCATCTCCATATGAACTCGAGCTTTGACTCAGAAATCTCCCAAAGAATCAGCAAAGCACCGGCACCATGTCCAAATTGAAAAAAAGAGAGCCTGGAAAAACAAATACCTGAATGAGAACACCAAAATGTATATCTATATCTACCAGGCAGCACCTTGCTCTGAGGCAGTGAACTTGGACCACCCAAATGAGAGAGAAAGCCGCTTGAACTCCTTCCATTTGCGATGCCTCGGCGCATCCTCGATCGGCGTCAAGTGGCAAGACCATATAACCAACAGTGAGATACTGTCACGTGCTGGCATCCCCAGACTTTCTTACGCTGGAAACTGAGAGAAAGTAAATAGCCTTGAGAGCATAATCTCAAACAAATAAACGCTTCA